ATTAACCAGTGCTTCCCTTCCAGCTCTAGAGGATTGCAGTGAAGATATTCCTTCTCAGCATTGCAGCTCCGCCACATTTCTTCTGGACCACAGTGAAAATGTAAAATGGATCTGTGCAGGTTGCTATCTATTTCTCCACTCCATGAACAGAGTAGAGTAGGGCAAGTTTTTCTTGAAGTTGAGAAAAAAAAAAGTTGTTATCATAGAAGATATTTTATCTCAGAGATACATAAGCACAAAAAAGTCAGGCAATGTACAGCCAACAACATCTACTGCAATATTCAAAATCTAGTTTAAAAAAATGTTAGTACATAGGCAGGGCATAAGTAACAGGCAGTGTACAAACAGGAGTGGCCAGGGGTACATGAAAACATAGTTTGCACGGTAAGAAGCACCTTATGTCAGATTATGTTACCCCCACTTCCTCCAGTTTTCCCAGGTTTATTTCTATAGAGTAGGTAGGAAACTTGGTAGCAAAGCATTCAAGTAACTTCTAAATCCAAGTCTTAGTTCCAAAGCAGATTTAAGATTGAAAGATACATGTTAGCTACTGCTTTTAATTAATAAGAGTTATGTTTTATGTCACATGATAAGTATTGCCAACTGCCAGTTCTATATTGGAATGTTGTTCCTTCGGATGGAATTTTGACTGACATAAAGACAGAGGTCTGTAAGAGTAATAGTTCATCAGATATCTCTCATGTTATATATAGTAAGATTGTGTTTTCATGCAGGAAAGCAATGCAGATGTGCAGCAGCAGGATCTTGGGCAACAGATCATTATCTATCATTGCATAATTTCTCAAACTGTTTGCTACAGTGACACACATGTTTTATTTACTACATTAAACTGTTTGCCACAAAGTGAATTAGAAAACAACAAGCAGCTGGTTCTTGGAGGAATGAAAGAACAAAAGAAAAGAGAAGACAAAAGATTTTAAAAAAGATTCCTGAGACGAATTGTTTAAACAGACTCTACGAAGCATGCTGCACTTTTAAAATGGTACACAAATATTTTCTTGTGTTAATGATTTAAAAAAAAAAAATATTGTGCAAAAAGGAAATTTGTACAAACAGAATACAAATGTCACAGGGTTCAGGGTTTAGACATTTCAATATTTAGACATTACAAACCATGCTGGTATAGTAAACGATGAGCAGCACACTTTTTTGGGGGGTTCCAAGATGTTGTACACTGTCATTAGCTACACGCAAATCTACCTGTCCTCTCCTGATCTCCCTCGTCCCTCTTTACTAGTGTCTCTGACTGCCTCTCTGCTGTTTCTAACTGGATGGCTGCCCACTTCCTTAAACTAAACTTGACCAAAACTGAAATTCTGGTCTTTCCTCCCTCAAGTGTTGTTACTCCTGTGTCTGTCTCCCTCCAAGTCAATGGTGCTACCATCAGCTCCACCACGCAGGCTCGCTGCCTAGGTGTTCGCTTTGACTCCGACCTCTCCTTCAAGCCTCATGTTCAATCTATCGCCAGATCCTGTCATTTCCGTCTCAAAAACATTGCGCGCATCCGCCCCTACTTAACGCCAGATGCGACTAAGGTGTTGGTCCATTCCACTTTCCTTTCTCGCCTTGACTAATGTAATCCACTTCTCAGTGGTCTTATGTGCTCCCAACTTGCGCCGTTACAGTCCATAATGAATGCGGTGGCGAGGCTCATCTTCCTGTCCGCCCGCACCTCCCATGCCTCACCCTTCTGTCAGTCCCTACATTGGCTTCCTATAAAATATAGAGCTCAATTTAAAATTCTGGTTCTTGCTTTCAAATCACTACATAATGCTGCTCCCACCTATCTATCCTCGCTTTTACACAAGTATGTCCAGTCTAGGCCCTTACGATCTGCTGAAGACTTACGTCTATCTTCTGTCCGTACTCCCACCTCTGATGCTCGCCTTCAAGATTTCTCGAGGGCTGCACCGTTCCTGTGGAACTTGCTTCCCTCCTCCGTTAGATGCTCACCCAGTCTCCACTCCTTCAAAAAATCGTTAAAAACCCACTTCTTCATAAAAGCATATCAATTAAACTGTTAATAGCTCCTGACTGATTCCTCTCTTGCAACTGTCATTAGTCTAATACTATCCTTACCTTTGTGTCACTTTACCCCAATCCCTCTAGCATGTAAGCTCATTGAGCAGAGCCCTCAACCCCTCTGTTCCTGTGTGTCCAACTTGTCTGGTTACAACTACATGTCTGTTCGTCCACCCATTGTAAAGCGCTGCGGAATTTGATTGTGCTCTATAAATATCATAATAATAATAATAATTAGCTAACAGTGGTTGTAGCTAGGGTTACACTGACAGATAACACATTGGCATTAGGTTTTACAAGGGCGCATACACTCTGTGAGTACATCACATTCTCTATCTGGGGCTTTCCCTTGCTCTGTATCTAGAGTCTTTAATTGTGTTTGTGTATCATCCTGTCTCCTGTCTAACCGTCTCCCCTCGATAATAGTGGGTATTATCCTGTGTTTTAGTGAGTTGGTGTGGAGATCTCAGTCACCTGCTAACTTCCTTGGTTGTGGGTGGGGGATGGGGGGAGGTCTCTATCTTTCTGGGGATTATTGTTGTTCTGAGTCCGTCGATCCCAGTCATGGTTTCAGGTCAGAGGTTTGGAGTAAATGGCTGAGATCCATTTCATCCAGTTTGGGCCAAAACCCATGGTTTGGAGGGTGCTGGTTAGCAGGTACCAGTCCACCCTGTCAAAGGCCTTCTCTGCATCAATGGTGAGGATAAGGCTCTGCAATGTTTCCCTCACTGAGAGGTGGATAAGGTTGAGGAGTTTAGTGGTATTATTTTTAGCCTCTCTCCTGGGTACGAATCCTGCCTGATCAGGGTGAACTTGGTCTTCCAGAAGTGGTCTGAGACGGGTGGCCAGGATCTTCTTGAAAACCTTCAGGTCAATATTGATCCAGGATATCGGCCTGTAGCTTCCGCATTATGATGGGTCTTTCCCTGGTTTGGGTATTAGGGTTATGTGGGCCTCTAAAGCTGTGTCTGGGAGGGTGCTGGATTGTGTGAGTGAGTTAAAGATGTGTATGAATGGATCTGCAAATTCGGAAGAGAAAGTTTTATATTTGGCTGTGTACCCATCTGGTACTGGACTTTTGCCCAGTGGTAGGAGTTTTACTGCTAGGTGGAATTCGTCCGGTGTAAGGGGGGGCATCAAAAACCTGTCGAATGTTCAGTGGCATTGTCTGAGCGAGTCATTTAGACAGAAAGTGGTCTATGTCTGATTGGGACGGTGGAGATTGTATGAGGTTGTGAAGATTAGAATAAAAGGTGTGAAAGGCCTGTAGTATCTCTGGCATGTCGTGGGATGTTGTCCCAATGGGTGTCTTTACCTGGCATATGAAAGTTTGTTGCCTGTTGTGCTGTTAGGCTTTGGCTACCATGCACCCGCATTTCCCTCCTTGGGCAAGGTATGAGCGTTTGGATAGAAGTAGTTTGCATCTTATCTGGGAGTTCAGGAGTTGTTGTAACTTGGAACGTTTGTCTATGAGTTGTTTGTAAATGTCTAAGGAACACGTATTGCTATGCATTTGTTCTAGTTATCTTATGTCCCTTGTAAGTGTCCTAATCTGGGCTTCCCTATGTTTCTTATGTTTTGATGCTAGTGCAATAAGGTGCCCTCGTATTACTGCATTGTGGGCCTCCCACGTGATTGGGGGTGAAATTTTTGTAGATGAATTTTCCAAAGAGTAGTGTTGTAGGTCAGTAGATATCTGTTTAATTTTGAACCGGTCATTGAGAATCATATTGTTTAATTTCCATTGGAAGCTTTTGGGTCCGCGTGGTCTGACCACGTTATGGGGTCGTAAGCACAGGACTGGATCAGGTGTGGCTGTCTATGCTGCAGGAATAGCATGTCGAGCCTGGAGTAGGAGTGCGTGACATTTGTGTAGAACGAGTAGTCCTTCGTTTGGGGGTGGGTTACCCGCCAGCTGTCGAATAGCCATGTGTTATCTAGTAGCTGAGTCACCCTAGCTCTAGTCAAGACTTGGTAGGTATTGGATAGTGAGGTGGTGTCTAGGGTAGAGTCTATGGACATGTCCATGTCTCCCCCCACGATGAGAATCCCCTCCGTGTGACGCTCTACCTTGTTGAGGTATTTCCGAAGATAGCTGCATTGTTTGGAGTTCGGAAGATAGAGATTTGCCAGAGTCCCTATCTTGTTTCCTATCAGTCCTTTGACTACTATCAGCCTGCCACTTGGGTCTGAGTAATGGTCTATGTATTTAATCCCTTAAGGACCAAACTTCTGGAATAAAAGGGAATCATGACATGTCACACATGTCATGTGTCCTTAAAGGGTTAAAGGGAGAATGGGTTCCTATGAGGATGGCCACTCATCTCTTTTTAGCCTTTACATAGTTGCTGAAATATCCTTGAGGGTAATGCCTTTCCAGGAGGGTCGGGGCTACATTCGTCCTGAAGTGTGTTTCTTGAAAAAACGCTACATCGGCTCTGAGTTTGTGAAGTTCATGGAGCGCTAGGGAGCGTTTGGCAGGGGAGTTTAGTCCCCGAACATTAAATGTGACTACGTTAATATCTGCCATGTGTGCTGCTGAACTGTATACGAAGGGCTGGTACAATATCCTGTTTTCTGTATGTTGCCATTTCTGTATGTTGCCATAGAGAGACAAAGAAAATTAAGGTAACTATTTACAGGTTAACAAAAAAACAAACAAATGTGAGCTAGAGAGTACGTTCAGGCAATAGATATATGGATGTAGCTAGATGTGACGGTGTCTTTTCCCTGGTTCTGGGTCACCTTAAGGGGAACAGATTTTGCACCGCTTTAGTGGCTTTCGTTTCTCTGCTCAGATAAGCTGCACGAGGGGAGTTGGATTGAGGTACGCGCTGAGGAGCAAGGGTGGACAATCCATATGATGCTGATGTCATACCTTTTATTTAGGGTTCGGGGTAGTATATGGGACATGCGGTCTGGGATAATTTCGGGGTTTGTGACTCTCCCTCCCTCCGCTATGCCCCTGGTGTCCTCACCACCTCGATTTGGTGTTTGCTTTGCCCCATGCGTTTCATCGGAGGGTGGCTGAAAAGGTAGGGCAGAGTTACCCTGCTTTGGGAGGTCATTACTTGGGCCAGGGTTAGAGGATTACCAGGGTATGTGAGCCGTATTGTGGGGACTGAGGGAACGGTGTGTTGGAAGGGTGAGGGGCCGCGGAGGCCCTCGTTGGCTGGATGTGGGGTACCTATGAAGCGGCTGATAGGATATGCAGGATATGCACAGTATATGTGTACAACATACATGATACACTTTACCATCTGTTTACACCTCTCTCCCCCTTTGCTCGCCACAGCCACCCAGCCGCTGGGTACTGTAGGTCCCCGTCTGGTGAAGATTTTGTCCAGATGCCGGGTTATTGGTTCAAGGGATGTTCCAGGCTGTGTCCGATACCTTCGTGATAGTCCGGTCTTGGGGAAGCAGCTAGGCTGGGTGGTGGAGCTATGTTCCACAGTGGCATAAGTCCTTTGGAGGTCAGAGTCTATGCGTGATCGGGTTTGCGGCGTCGCTTGGACGGTGTCTGCCATCATGAGTGTTGTGGCAATCATGCCATTGGTTGGGCCTGTTGCGGGCCGTACCAGTCCTGGAGCAGAACGTCTGGGAGACCCAGGGTCTAAGTGAAGAGTGCCGTGTCTCCTGCTATCAATAGGGTAGCTGTAGCCCCCTTATTGGAGGCCATGAGGGATAGAGGGAAACCCCACCGGTATAGAATATTTCTAGTAGTATGTCAGTGAGAGGTCTCATTACCCTTCTAGCTTGGAGAGTCATCCATTAGAGATCTGGGAATATCTGTACCTGTGCCCTATGGAACAGCAATGGTTGGGAGGTCTGCCTGAGCATACTGAGGATTTCCTCATTGACCCCGTAGTAGTGGAGCCGGTAGATAACATCTCTCGGTGTCTCTGCTGCATTGTTTCTGGGTCGGAGCGGAGTACAGGTTCGTCATTAGCTTTGTTCATGATAAGATTGAACACCTCCTGTAGCACGCTCCGCAGATCTTCCTGCTTTGTTTCGGAAAGGACTTTCACTCTAAGATTGTTCAGCCTTCCGCAATAATCCAAGTCATCCAGGGATCTGTACATTGCAGCCAGCTGCACGTTCTGAGCTTCCACCATGCTCTGTAGTTGCTGGATTGAGTTTGGGTAAAGTCTTGATCGTCTTCCAACATGGTGACCCTGTCTCCCACATGTTTGATATCTGCAGCTATGGGGTACATTTTAACTTGGATCGACTTTATTTGTGCAGATTTAATTTATGAATGTATGAATTGTGCTGGGAGTCATCCTTCCTTTCGGTGCTTTAAGAGACAAGGTGTTGTCAGGGAGCAGATTCCAAAAAGCATGGACTCTAGTGAGAATACAAAATCTGCTCCCTTATTTAAAATGTTATCTAAATCAGCTGACAGTGCAGCTAATTAAAGAACGCTTTTCAATTGGTTTTAAGATTCATGTTTGTAGTTTATCAGCACAGTTTGTTGAGAATCTCAGTTCAGTTAAGTTAAATTTAGATGTAGTTAGTGAAAATATAATGATAGAAGATTCTTTAGGGAGAATTGCAGGGCCCTTTTCTGTCCCACCTTTTGTACATTTTAGGGTTTCTCCATTGGGTTTAGTTCCCAAAAAAGAGAAGGGTACCTTTAGACTAATTCACCATCTATCCTACACCAAAGGTGATTCTTTGAATGACAAAGTGGACAATTCCATTATTTCAGTGTCATACTCTTCTTTCAAGGATGCATTGAAATGGGTGAGGCATTGTTTGAAGAATGCTCTCATGGCGAAAGTTGACATTAAGTCAGCTTTTAAATTACTCCCAATACATCCTGATTCTTTTGGGTCATTGGGTTTCCAATATGAAGTTAACTTTTACTTTGATAAATGTATGCCCATGGGTTGTTCTGCCTCTTGTTTTTATTTTGAAAGTTTTGCGTGTTTTCTGGAATGGGTGCTTAAAGATGTCTCAGGTTTACAATCAACTATTCTATTTTCTTCTCATTGGGAAAGCTGGATCCTCTGACTGCCTCCAGTTATTGAACACTTTCATGTCTATTGCCTAGCAATTTGGCATTCCTTTGGCAAAGGAGAAAACGTTTTGGCCTAGTACTTGTTTGCAATTTTTAGGTATAATTATTGACTCTGAAAGAATGGAATTTCATTTACCTGAGGATAAAATAGTTAAAAGGAAAAGAAAAATTTCCCAATTATTAGGCATTAAAAAAACGACACTTAAGAAACTACAGTCTGTGTTAGGTTCTTTAAATTTTGCATCAGGGTAATGATGATGGCCAGGGCTTTTTCCAGACATATGGCTAGAGCGTTAGCGGGTTTTGAAAATCCACATTATCATGTGCAAATATCCAGACAGATTAAAGAGCATTTACAAGTCTGGAATGCATTTTTAAGTAATTTTAACGGTTCCATGATTTGGCAGAGACATTTTGTATCCAAGTGGGATTTAGATATTTTCCCTGAGACAGCTGGTTCACAAGGCTTTGGCATTTTGTTCCAAGGGAAATGGGTGGCCACTGGATGGCCTCAAACTTGGGAGAAAAATTGATGGACTAAAATTATCACACTTTTGGAACTCTTTCCTATAGTAGTAGCCTTGGAAGTATGGGGTTCTGAGTTGGCAAATAAAATAATTACTTTTCATTGTGACAACTTGGGAGTTGTTTGGGTAATTAATTCTCTTTGAGCTAAATTGATCCCTGTTGTTAATTTATTGAGAAGATTAGTCCTAATCTGTTTGAGTAAAAGCAAGACATGTAAGTGGAAAAAGTAATTGTATAGCTGATGCCTTGTCCCCTTTCGACTTCAAGTCTTTCAGGTCCCTCGCACCTCTAGCAGAAGAATGTGGAATGAAGTTGCCCAAGCACATCTGGGATCTAACTTCAATAAGTCGATAAGTCGATTGCTGGGTCTATCATTGTCTTCAGTTACTTGGAAAGCATATGTACTCGCTTGGGATGAGTGGAATCGGTTTATGGGTAATCTCAAAAAGGACGCTACTGATCCTAACATACAGGATGCTATTCAATTTGTTATCAATAAAATTCAGTCAGGAGCTTCTAAGTTTTCATTAAATAGATCGTTATAAGGAATTTCTTTTTTCTTTAAGGTTTTTGGTAAAAAATCTATTTTTTAAAGAATTTATTGTACTGAAAGGAGCTTGGGTTAAGAAACCGCCTGTTCAAGATAACAGGTCTCCTATTTCATTTAAACTATTGGGTGATTTGGTTAAGAATTTGGGCTCCATCTGTAATTATTCTTTTGAGATTCATCTTCAATCTGTGGTATGTCTTTTTGCCATGCTGATATTGAGGGTCATTGTAAAGGTTTTTTTTTAAAGATGCTATTCAGTTGTCTGAAGTCGGTTGTGATATTTTTAACAATGATTTACAGTGTTTGATAAGGCTGTGGACTGGTGGGGTGGGGTTGGCTGCAGCATTAGTTGCTGCAGCTGGTGGGGTTAAGGTCATCTGCCTATTTTAAAGGAGGGGAGACTATCTAAGTTTGGTGATTTATATGTTTAAGTTTTGGCTAATAGGGCGGAACTCTGGTGATTCATGTGTTAAATCTCTGCGGGTTTAAAGACAGGAGATGTTTGGTTACAAGCTATACATTTTAAAGTAATTAAGTTACAGTTTGTTATGTTTTGTAAACTAAAAAAAAGACCATGGCCTTTTCACCACATATCTGAGTCTGTGTGTGTTATTATTATTCCACTCTGTATTTACTTTGTGTAGTTCTTAAATGTTATGTTTGGGTATGTTAAGGTTAACCCCTGCAGCGCACAAGACCAATCACCATTAGAGCAATCCAAGAATTAAATTAACACTTACAAAAGCTCCTTAAATTCACACTGTAGGCACTATAACTATTTATTTTCATTGAATTGATAATGGTTCCTGGAGCCCCTGTGCTGTCCCTGCATTCAGTATTAAAGGGACACTATAGTCACCCAGACCACTTCAGCTCAATGAAGTGATTTGGGTGCCAGGTCCCTCAGGTTTTAACCCTTCAGATGCAAACATAGCAGTTTCCGGACAGCCACTAGAGGCGCATCTGCGACACTGGAGGCATATTATGCCTCCATCAAGCAGAGCATCCATAGGAAAGCATTGCGAAATGCTTTCCTATGGACACTTTGAATGCGCGAGCAGCACTTGCCACGCATGTACATTCGGCTCCGCTGACAGCGGACGGAGGAGCTGACGTCGGCGGGTGAGAGGTCACCAGGGAGGGAGCCTGGCGCTGTATTAAAGTAAGTAACCGAAGGGGCTTTAACCCCTTCAGCACCACGGCAGGGGGACCCTGAGGGTGGGGGCACCCTCACGGCACTATAGTGTCAGAAAAAACGGTTTGTTTTCCTGACACCATAGTGATCCTTTAAACCATTTTCAAGCAGTTTAACACTAAATAACAGTCTCTGGCCTCTCACTGAACTTTCCCTACTGGAGGTAAGGCTAATACAGACAATACTACGTCCAGTGGCAGAACTATAGCCATGCAAAGATGTCCCCAGCTGACATAGCATTGTGGGAGTTTGACAGAAGGGGATATATCTTTTGGCCACTCGTGTGCTATAGGGGGCACAAACAAAATCTTGCATCAGTGCCCTCTCTCCATTAGTTCCGCCACTGACCATGTCTTACTAGCAAGGTGCACTGTGGTAGGCTGAAAGTGGTCAGCTGACACTGTAGGCCAATCACAGCCACCCATTGCTGCTCAGGCTAATGCTTCCTTATTACTAGCACAGAAAGGATGGGTTTCTGGGGACACTTGTTTAGCATAACATTTTTAATAATGTTCCAAAAGTTTTAATGCTGAATGGAAGGACAGCATGAGGGGACTCCTGACATAATAACCACTTCAATTAGATGACACAATTACAGTGCCTACAGTATGCCTTTAATACAAGTTCCTTGAACAAAGCTGTACCCTATCTGCGGAATTCTTCGGTTAATATGTAGCTGTATTTTATTGATAATACATGTAGATATAAAAAGGAAAGAACATAAAAGTGAAGATCATCTTCACATACATATAAAAACACTTATTAATTCACTTACATAAAACCAAATGTATTTCAGCATATCAAGCAATAGCTTGGAGGCATGAAACCCATCCAGCTCGAGGTTAAGTACTTTTCAGTTTATGTGAGTTAATAAAAAAGTGTTTTTATATTTATATTTAAAAAGTCTACACTATTATGTTCTTTCCTTTTTACATCTATATGTATTGAGGATGAAAACATAGCTGCATGTTAATTGAAGAATCTCAAATAATGGCACTGATACGTTCATGGCAATGGAATTAAGATACTTTTTGTGAGTGTTCATCTGGCTATTCAACTGTTTCAAATGAATAAAAGAGTGTTGCACTATTTGTTTTTTTTATTTTTCTTCTCTTCTTGTTTTCTGCCTCTCTCATTTATATTTTATAGATTTTTTTAATGACAGGTTGTGGGAGGATCTTGGAATTTGAGATTTTAAGATTTTGTTTTTAAGATTTTGAGAATAAGTTTA